CTGCCAAATGCTGCTTACTAAGACCCCTGCTGACCTCACTAGGAAAAAACAGCACCATCTAGTGGACTGAAAAGGCAATTGATTTTATTGTTCTAGCACAAAAGTTGTATTAAAATGTGTATCCAAAAATTAATAATGGCCATTAAAGTGGGTGTATTAAGGGATTCTTATATCACTGTGGCTGCTATAGGCCCCCGCCTGCTTCAAAGATGCTCTTCATTTGATTTCTGATATCCTACATGAAATAATATGACTCTGAATTCATTCTTATGGGTGATTTAAATTGGGATTGGCTTTCTGGAAACTCAGATTGTTTTAAAGAACTGTGCGACTCCTTGATTTTGTGCAACTCATCAATGAACCAACCCAGCCAAATCCTAGGGCACAAAATAAATCTACCTTGCAGAATTTAATTATAACAAATACATCCCATAGATACACCTTCACTGGCATATTTTGCAATGATGTTAGTGATCATTGTGCAAGTGCTTGTATCAGGAGTACAAAAATCTCCAAGGTAAAATGATGTTTCATTTTTAAAAGATGTTTTAAAGGTTTTGAAGAGCATTTTCTTTTTTTTTTTCTTTTTTTTTGCATGACTTGAACTACTAGCAGAGTTACTCCGATTTTGGATGTTGAACTGGCATGGGAATACTTTCACTCATTTTTCTGTCTATCTTTGACAAACATGTTCCTATTAAGAAAATTAGGGTCAGCAGTAGGGACAATCCTTGGTTCTCAGGCAGTCACTCAGAAATGCTTTGTTTAAGAAATAAATATTGGGCCTAAGCTAGATTTTCAAACTCCTCTGCTGACAGGACGAAATTTAAAACCCTAAGGAACAAGTGTACCTTCATGATTAGAAAGTCCAAATCAGAGTTTTGAGTCAGTTACAGAGAACTTAAATAACCCCTCAAAATTCTGTAAATCAATTAAATCTTTATATGGTACACATATTGGCTCAAGCCTCCCGGAACAAATTCTGTTTGGCTCAGATGAAATAAAGGACAAAGCTGCCATGGTCACTCAGTTTAATGAACATTTTATTTGGGCTTTGTTGGGTATATTTGATACCTTAAATGTAAATAAATCGGTTCTACGTTCTGCCAATGCTGCAGCTGATGAAAATCTAGTCTGTTCATTTTAAACCTATTTCAGTTTTACAAGTTTGTAGAGCTCTGAGAGACAATGACCACAGAAAGTCTGCAGGTCCAGACAATCTTGATCCTTATCTCTTAAAGGTGGCAGCAGATATTATTGTTGAGCCCATTACTCATTTTTAAATTTGAGTCTTCTCTCTAACTCCATTCTTAAAATTTGGAAAGCTGCCTATGTTCTCCCTTTACTTAAAGGTGGAGGCCCCTCAGAGCTGATCAATTACCGCCCGATTTCCAAACTTTAGTTTTGGCTTTGGCTTCAGTGGACCACAGACTACTCCTAAACAAGCTAAAGAATGTTTCTTTTTGACCTAAGGCTGTACACTGGTTCCAAAATTATTTCACAGATCGTACTCAATGTGTTTATGCAGAAGGCCATAAATTGAAATTTCTTCAGACAACTAAAGGTGTCCCCCAGGGTTCCATCTTGGGGCCTATTTTGTATTCTTGTTTTTTTTAATGATTTGGGTGAAGACATTCCAACAAAAATACATTTATATGTGGATGACACTATCATTTACATGCATGCCCCCTCTATAATGCAGGTAGTGCAAGAGCTTCAGACTGCATTTCAGTCATTACCAACTGCTCTGCTGAGTTTAGAATAGATTTTATATGCTCAGAAAACAAAGTTTATGGTCTTCTCAAAAGCTCACTCACAGTTGCTTGTAGTTGATGGTAAATCCATTGAAAGAGTGTCCTAATACAAGTTCCTGGGTATATGGATAGATGCCAAGCTTTCATTTAATACACATATTGCTACTCTAGTTAAGAAGCTAAAGTAAAAATAGGCTTTTATTTTAGAAACAAGTCTTGTTTTACTTTCAGCTCTAAGAAGAAAACTCATGAAAGCCACTTTTCTGTCTGTGATTGATTGCGGTGACATATTGTATATGCATGCAACCTCCTCCATTTTACATAGCCTTGATCCAGTATATCATGCATCTCTACTTTTAATTAAAAATGCAAAGTCACTTCATCATCATGTATTCTTTATGATTTGGTGAGCTGGACATATTCGACCATTTACAGAAAACAGCACTGGTTTATTTTTATCTTTAAAGCAATATTGGGCAAACTAACTCTGCACCCATTGGTGTGTTAGCTCTGGTAGTTACCAGCTACGCTATTCCAGGTGGATGCTTTTTAATGTACCCTGGGTTTTGACAGATCTGGGTAAACTGCATTTTCCTAGTATGCACCTTGGACATGGAACAATCTCCAGAAAGATCTAAAATTAGAAACACTTTTATCCATCAATGAATTTAAGGGCATCATAGATGATGAGTCACCAAACTCATCAAAGAGTTTGGTGACAGAGACATGTACATATTTTTCTTGAGAGGCCACTATGTTTGAATAGCTGTTGTTTTATTGTGGATTTTTGTATTTTATATTGTATTTGTTGCATTTTAAATGTGTTTATATTGGCTGCTACCTTTGATCTCAATGGGACTTCCTGGTTAAATAAAGTTTGAATAGATATATAAATGAATAACTATAAATAAAAGATAAAAATTGATACTCGGCGTCTGTATATTGATACAATATTGCCACACAAAATATTGCAAGACTATGCTGTATCAATTTTTTTTCCCCACTCTCTGGTACTTAGGTACTTTTATTACATCGGCATACAGTGGAGTATATCATATATGTCATTTAAAAAGTTACATTAAAATTTATAAATCAGACTTAAGGGGACACACACACAGTTAGTGTATTATTTTATTAATTTAGCGAATGCAAATTTCTCAAGCCAAGCAGTAGCCTCTTGATCTATATTGTGGAAGGGAGACTAGACCTCCTCTTAGTCTTTGGAGACAGCAGGCTTCAATAATACGCTCCATGGTTTGCACCTCTCCACAAGCATTGGGCTCAAGCTGCTCCCCCATCTGTTAAGGCTGGCCAAGTAGGGACCTTGACCAGTCCTAAATCTGTTCAAGGTGGACCACTGTCTCCATAAGAGGTTGGTGCCGGAGACTGGTTGAGTCGGGTCTGACACTAGATGTTTGTTTGGGATGTCTCTGGATTCCCATTCAGTCACCCAGGCAGACAGTGCATCAAAGTCAGTGGGTGGGGGGGTCCTTCCAAATTGGTCGTCTAGATCGGAGACGAGCAGGTGGTGGGTTGAAGATGTCGGTGTGGATTGGTAAATGGAGGGAGTCTTTGACCTTTTGGAGCATCCTATACGTGAGTTCAGTTCGTCTGATGTTGGGGGGGAGTATATTAGATAGGACAGGGAGCCAGGGGAGCAGTGTTGAACGAATAGTTCCAGTTATGATTTGCATAGTGGAGTTAAGTTGGGTGCCTATGTGGTGTGTGTGGGGTGACCTGGACCAGACAGGGGCACAGTATTCTGCTACAGAATATGACTTGCAAGTTTGCAAGTCCAATTGTTTGGCAGCTTCTGAGTTTCAAAGATGGAAAATACTAGAGACTGTTTTTGCTGGGCTTGGTTGTAGGCGCTAGGCTTTGCAGTACTGGTCCAGTTTTGCAAGGTCCTCATTGAGCACTTGCTCCAAAGAGGCCAGGTCAGTAGCTTGGGTTGCCAAACAGATGTCATCAGCGTAGATGAACTTGTGGGATCTGGTGATGGGCAGGTCATTTGTGTATATGTTGAACAGGGTCAGGGAGAGAACTGAACCTTGAGGAAGCCCATTTTTCTGTGTTTTCCATGCACTTATTGTCTGTCCCAAGTCAATCAATCAATCAATCAATCAATCAATCAATCAATTTTATTTATAAAGCCCAATATCACAAATCACAATTTGCCTCACAGGGCTTTACAGCATACAACATCCCTCTGTCCTTATGACCCTCGCAGCAGATAAGGAAAAACTCCCCAAAAAAAACCCTTTACCGGGGAAAAAAAACCAGTAGAAACCTCAGGAAGAGCAACTGAGGAGGGATCCCTCTTCCAGGATGGACAGACGTGCAATAGATGTCGTACAGAACAGATCAGCATAATAAATTAAAAGTAATCCGTATGACACAATGAGACAGAGAGAGAGACAGAGAGAGAGATGCAGGTAATGACAGTAGCTTACAACAACATTATTGAAAGTAATAATATTATAGTTATAGTTCTGGCTACTGTGGTACAATATGTTGAAAGTATGTATTAATATCTGGCAGTATACATGCAGAGTTTGGATTGTGGCTGTTGCCCAGGCAGGGGGCACTTTCCTGAGTTTCAGCAGGAGGCCTTTACGCCAGACCATATCGTAGGCTGCTGTGAGGTCAAGGAACACAGTCCCTGTTTTGAGCTTACTCTCAAAGCCGTTTTCGATGTAGGTGGTTAGGGCCAGTACTTTTTCCCCTGTACTGCAGCCTTTACGGAAACTGGCCTGGTCTATCCTAAGTATTCACTCTACTCTTGGGGATATACGTTTTAGTTGTAGTATGAGGCGTTCCAAGATTTTAGAAGGAACACAGTGTGTGTGTGTGTGTGTGTGTGTGTGTGTGTGTGTGTGTGTGCGCGTGTTATTACTCATATCACATGCAAACAGAATAGTGTTATCCCATTTGATTGGACAAGAGACCTTTGTATTAATTATGCTAGGTATGGTATGGTAGGTGGGGTTGATTATTTAAATATGAAGACTGAAGGCTCTGCACAGTGGCACACTGAACACGGACACACACCAACAGTGATGCATTGACTAACTTGAGGCATACGGTATGAAACTTAATAAACAAGTCTTTGTTATTTTAACTTAATATCAGTGCTTCTTGAGAATACTGATGCTGTGGTTATACATGTTGAAGTAAATATTTAAGTATTTAAAAGGTTGTGTAATTGGTTAATTTTGGAAAATTTATTTGCAGGAATCTAGAAGCATGGGACCAGAAGTGACTGTCAATGGGACTTACACTGTTCATGACGTGCATCCCTGCTATGAATCAGATCACACAACTTATGTATTTACAAGCAATCCCTCTATAATATGTGTATTATTATATATTGTTCTAGGCTCATTGTCATTTATCACAATATGCGGAAACCTTCTTGTAATCATCTCCATTATTTACTTCAAACAGCTCCACGTCCCTACAAATTACCTCATCCTCTCTCTGGCTGTTGCTGATCTGCTTGTTGGTGTTGTAGTTTTCCCTTTCAGCATGGCCTTTACTGTAACCTCATGCTGGTATCATGAGGGTTTATTCTGTAAGGTACGGGGAAGCTTTGATGTAACACTAAGCACAGCGTCTATTTTGAACTTGTGCTGCATTTCTATTGACAGATACTACGCAGTATGTCAGCCTCTTGCTTATAAAACTAAAATAAATGATAAAGTTATCGGGATTATGATCCTGGTGAGCTGGGGAGTTGCTGCTCTAATTGGCATTGGCATCATGGTTGCAGGGTTTAATCAAGGAAAATGTGAAGAAAGTTGTTTAATTGATGCTCTTATTTCAACCACTCTGGCATGCATTTTTTCTTTTTATATTCCAGTCATTATAATGCTCTGCATCTACCTGAAAATTTTCCTTGTAGCACAAAGACAGGCAAACACCATTCAGAGCACAACCTGTCAGAGCACAAGGTCTGGAACAGCTGTCAGTAAGATGGAGAGAAAGGCCACCAAAACTCTGGCTATCGTTTTAGGAGTTTTTCTCTTATGTTGGAGTCCTTACTTTTTTTGTATCATCTTTCAGCCTTTAACATATGATGTTACACCAATTGCTGTGATTGAAACTCTTAACTGGCTCACACTGTCAAATTCAATGCTCAATCCATTTATTTATGCTTTCTTTTACAGCTGGTTCAGGTCAGCTTTCAGAATGATCATTTCTGGGAAAATAATTCAAGGTGATTTTGCTGACTCAAAGCTATTTTGACTTGAGAATGTTCATTTTAATCAGAGAGCAATGATGAAGTCTGAAACAATAAAAATGCATCTTTAATGCCATGATAAACTGTATGAAATGGCATTTTGTATTTACAAATAATAATTTAGTACGTGAAAGTAAAATGGTTTCAATTTTAATACAATAGCACAATCAGATAGTTACTGCCTGTAAGACAATGTTTTGTAAAGCTCTTTTACACAAGCAGTTACGTTTACTAGCCTAAATTACTTAAGCGGGTCATTCCATTCCAGGCTCTGTGAGTGACAGCGGGCCTCCTGCAAGAATCACTGGTACAAAAAAGTTCGTCCTTAATTGGCTTGTACGAATGATTTAGGAGAACTTGCTGTATTCAACATTTACTTGTATTTTGAATTTTCTTTTAATAATGCTCAAAATCACAATAAACTTTTAACACTTTTTAAAGTGCTTTACAAAAATAAAGGATATAGAATAATAAAGTCAGCAATAATAAAGTAAAATACAATAAAACAATAAAATAAAAGTCAAGCAAATGCCTTTGGTTATAAGAAGTGGCTGGCAGATAAAAGTGAGTTCAGGCCACAAACCCTGTGAAAGCACATTCATTTAAGTAGGCCTACTTAAAAGAGGAGGAGGAACTGGTAAGTCTCACCTCATCAGGGAGGTTGTTTTTCAGTCTAGATTATGGAATGGTCAGCAGAGCCTTGTCTGAGGACTTCAGGTTGTGACCGGGCATATGAAGTGAGAGGATCTGAGATGTACTCAGGTGCAAGTCCAGAGCCGGCCTTAAAGGGTATCAGTAATATCTTAGAACCAACTCAAAAATTGACTGGAGCCAAGAGAAGCTGAAACAGGAGTAACATGCTCTCTTTTTTTGGTTTTAGTGGAGATTCTGGCTGCTGAATTTTGGACAAGCTGTCATTTGTGTAAACTCTATTGACTCAGACATGTTTATAGAGATTTACAGTAGTCCAATTTTTCAGTAATTTTCCGTAACCGCTTATCCTGTTAGGAGTTGTGGTGGGCTGAAGCCTATCCCAGCTGACATTAGGTGAGAGGCAGGGTACATCCTGGACAGGTCACCAGACTATCACTGGGCTGACACATAAAGACAGACAACCGTTCACGCTCACATTTAGCGTGGCCACTTAACCTGTGTGTCTTTGGACTGTGGGAGGAACCTGGAGAACCCCAGGAAAACCCACACTGACACGGGGAGAACACGCAAACATTACATAAAAGGGCTCCCTGAACACGGGTTCAAACCAGGAACTCTCTTGTTGTGTTGCAGCAATGACACCACAGCAGTTACCTGTAGTTGATCTTATCACAGCTACAGAATCAGCTATAAGGAACAACAACTTGACAGTAACCGAAGCCGAGCAGCTTAGGTTGAAAGTGTCAGCAGCTCTGTCCAATGCTAAGCCCCCACCCTTCAATCTCACTACTGAGGACAGAAAAGCTGTGACATCCCTGAGCAAGGATCCAAACATTACCATCCTTCCAGTAGATAAAGGGAGATGTACGGTAGTTCTTAGTACATCTGACTACCACAATAAGGTCTCTACATTACTCAGTGATACTAACACCTACAAAACTCTGAAACGAGACCCAACTAGTGGTTACAAGAAAAAGACAATAGAATACCTACAAAAACTACAGAAAGAGGGCACCATTGATTGCCTACAATATCACCATTTGTACCCCCAAGATGCTATCCCATGCATATATGGGCTCCCCAAGATTCACAAAGAAGGGGCCCCCCCTCAGACCCATTGTCAGCAGCATAAACTCGGTCACGTACAACATTGCCAAACATGTAGCCAACATCCTGGCTCCCTTGGTGGGCAATACGCCCCACCATATCCAAAACTCCATAGACTTTGTGGACAAACTAAGAGGTTTAAAAATGGATCCAGATAATACCATGGTATCCTATGATGTGACCTCCCTGTTCACTTGCATTCCAACCATGGAGGCAGTGGAAACAGTCAGGCAATGTTTGCTACATGACAACACCCTTGTTGGGATTCACAGGACCACAGATGATTTTTCATTTGGTAAAATCATAACTGGAGATTTAAAAGCTTTTTCCTCTGCATGCTCTTTGTCTTCAAACAAAGAGGGCTATGCGACACCCATCTCCACAGGAGATCTCACCTCACACCTCAGTGTGACTCAAGTCCCAAAACTTGATTGGACCTTTACAGTGACATGTGACTCTGATGTCACAGGCATCGGTACAAGGTCTGCTCCCTCCAAGCCTTCTCCCTCTTCTTGCTCCAGCTGCTTCAGCAGCTCCCACCTCTCTTTCTGGCTGGGCCTGGAACCGCAGAGGCCCAAACCCCTGCTCCATAGCCCAGACCACTAAAGGGAGGGCAATTGATCACAGACTCTCTTGCAAACACAAGGTTTGCTTCTAGCTTTCCAGCAACAAGGAACTAAGTGAGTTAGCACCCAGCGTCTAACTCTGCAAGGACCCCGAGCGACCAGCTTCCTCGGATCAGAACCTTTGGAACAAAGGACCCAACAAAGACTGCAGCTGGAACCATCTTCCCAGCCTTCTTCTGCCGGCTAACAAAAAAACAACACCAAGTGACTCTTTCTTCCATCCATTCAAGGATCGGTAATGTAACAACTGGGCATAGCTTATCACAGCTTTACAGGCTAAGCAAGACTGCTTAACTTGTTGTATGTGATTTGATGCTGTTTACTGAGTTATTGTTGGGATAGATTGCAGTTAGGTCATTGATTAGTTGGCTTCGCCACAGCTAAGTGTTTAGTTTGCTAATACTGTTCACAAACAGATTCTTGCATGCAACTAAACAATCTCTGTACTAATCCAGACCGTTTGCAACACATGTCACATTGACACAGTCATTAACAAATAGGCTTTCAACAGAGCTACTTCTTTTCCTTTGTCTTTGTCCTGACCACACGGTCAGACAAACACCTCCCCCGGAAACTGAAGCAGCCTTGATTCGGCCATTTTGGTAGTTCTCTGTTGTCAGCTATTTTGTTTCGTAGGCCAAACGGCTCCTTGATCACCAACTTTGTCTTTCGCTTCTTTCTCACACACACACACACACACACACACACACACACACACACACACACACACACACACACACACACACACACACACACACACATATACACACCAAGCTTGTATATAGTTAGTTAGAATTTGTGTGTTTTGGTTTGCTTTGCTAATTTGTGAATAAATATAATTCCTTGGAATCATGCCTGCTGTCTGTTTAATGTTGCACAAGGGTGAATGAATAGTCAACCTCTGCCGCGTTAAGAACTCCGAAATCCTTCATGCATTACCGTTAATTTTGGTTGTTGTCATTAATTTAATTATTAATCAAACTCCAAATTAATAGTTTAGCCTATTTTATGAGACTGATATCTCTAACTGGCTATCATTTTTCCTTTTACGGGAATGGTGCCCCACGAGGTGATTTAATGTTAATTAAGTCACATTATTTAACATAATTATTAATTATTAATAATAATTATTAATTATTTCCGATAGCCAATTTAACCCCAACATATTTGGTGCCTCCGTGTGAAGCCTAAGGTCTTGACCCCAACATATTTGGTGCCATCGTGTGAGGTAAATATATGTTGATTCCCAACACCCTCCACGACAGAACCAAGCTCAGTCCAGATCAGATATAGCAACTACTGGATCTCTGCCTGAGCACTACCTTTTTCAAATACGGCAATTTTTACAGACAGAACATGACTATGCGATGGGCTCACCAGTATCGCCCACTGTGGCTAACCTATACATGGAGGATGTAGAATACAGAGCCTTGAACTCCTTTGAAGGAACAGCACCGAGCCACTGGTTCAGATATGGAAAAAAATAAGGCTGAGCACGGAAGAACCAGAGAGGAAACACCATCACATGGAGCCATCCGCATCGGGAGGCGGCTGCCACCCCTGGCAATCTGGCCACCCTCCACTCCACCAGGGGAGAGTGGACCCCAAGTCAGCGCCAGCAGCCAGAACCAGCTGCTGCCCCCCGGTGCAGATGCCTCCCACTGAGGAAACACTGGAGTTAAGAACTAAACTATGATAAATGACATAAAATATTAAGATGTAGGCCTAACATAAAATAAATTTGTTATTAAATAAATTAAAACATATAGCCTACTGTAGATAAAAGTAGAACACGCTAAAAGTAAATACAATAATAGGCTAAATGGTATCTAATCAATAATAAATTGTCTAAACAATAATAAATTGTATCTAAGTTATATATTAGGCTACCATTCCACTCTGTAAATAGATTCTAAAATTTCAATATAATTTTAATATTATTTTTGCTTATTTAATTATTGTTATTATTGGTTTACTTTTTAGTAGTATTGTATTGTCTGAGGATGACTCATTTTACTAACTATCTACAGGTAAAAAGAGAAAAACAAGCGAAGAAATAAACAAAAATCATTTTATACACGGGGCCTTCAAAGTGCTCTCTGAAACTACACCTGGCATGGCTTGTGTCCAAAAAAAAAGAAAAAATCTAAACTTTGTCGTAGAGCTAAACCAAATACATCATTGGAAAGGTCTCAACCTGGAGAGTAACATATGTCAGTATGAAGATTCTACATGGTTCCTGCTTTAAGCCATTGACCTTTGAACCTTGACCTCAGTGCATGTTTGAGGGCTTATAACTCAGCAACTAAAGGGGGTACAGACATGGGACCAACTGTTATAGAGAGCTCTTGACCTCAGCTATCAAGTGAGTGTAGTCAACAACTGAGGGTGATGTCAGATATGGATAAAATATGGATAAAATTAATTTTCACCCATTTAGAAATTAGATATTTAAAATCTGATTTCACAAATGTGTTTACCATCCCCTTAAAGTCCACAGTGTACTCTCAATTCAATATTTACAACTTCCAAATCTAGGAAAAACACTTATATTTTTTAAAAACTGCAATTCCCTAGGACCACGCCATGCAGCTTGATACATATCAGCAAAATAGTTGTAGTTCTTCTGATTTGCAAAGTAGGGATCTAAATAGGGTTGTAAAAAGATATATCTACTGAATATATCTAATATATAGTAAAGCTGAACTAGTAATGACACTACATCTAGGTGAACTATGTTAAGCAAAAGCAAGGGTGTTGGCTAATTTCAGATATTTTAGATAGTACTCTAGAAATGGCCTTTGTGGGACAGTAGTTTTTTGCGGCTTGTTGTAAAATAGAGTTGTAAAAAGATACATCTGCTGAATATCAAATGTCTAGTAAAGCCAAACTAGTAATGACACTGCACCTAGATGAAATATGTTAAGAAAAAGTAAGGATGATGGTTAATTTCAGATATTTTAGCAAGTTCTCTAGAAACTGCGTTTCTGGGACTGTGATTGTTCCAGTTGTCGAGTTGTCAAATAGTGTCGTAAAAAAGTAAATCTACTGAATATATCAAATATCTAGTACAGCCAAACTATCATGTTATTATTATTATTATTATTGGTGGGAAATTATAACAGAGGAATATATTTGCTGTTTTAATATCAAGAACACTTTCATGTTTTTGTGTGTATACAGGGTGTTATTGAATCAGGGAATCCCTGTGTCCACCACGACAAAGGATCCTAATTGACTTTACATGGGCATTGTTTCCGTGGTACCGGCACATAATTTCAACCCATTACGTGCTGCCACCATGGAATGCGGTGTTAAGAGGTCGTGGTCATTTCCCGTATTTCTGTGAGATCAGGTTGGGTCCCGGAGAGTGAGTGACCTGACACGGTGCATTTGGAAATTCAGTCTGATGCTCTACACTAAAATGAGAGCCCTGTTGGTCAGAGAAACTGAAGGTTATATTTCTATATGAATTAATGAACGGGTAAGAAAATCTTACATTTATTCCTCTAAGTGCTCTGCTGCTCCATTTTCTCAGACAGAGTGCCCAGAGTGCGCTCCTGCTACTCAAAGAGTGCGGTGCTCTCCGACACTTGGAATGAGTATTTCTGAATGCACCACTCGCACTATTCTCCACCATTGTCTAAAACAAGCCAACAGAACTTTCCAGAGAGTGCAAGCTTATGCTAGAATTGTTTTGCCCCCAGTACATTATAGTTATGTGCATTGTACACACTATCAGATACATGCACAGATAGACTCAAGGTGATGCGCATGCATCTGCCTTTTTGACCTCTGACTAGATAAGTGCCCTTTTTTGCGAGTGGCTGTTTTTTTTTACTTTCTTTTTTTTATTTAATATTTTAGTTTTTCAATTTGGCCCATGACATAAATTCTCCATTAACAGCATATTTTAATGCCTGAAAAACACAGTTGAGTTTGAGACTGCAAGAGCCCCTGCCCATCCCTCATCAGCATACCTTGTCATAGTAAGCACAGTTGACACACTTAAACTGAGTGCCCTGCAGAGCAGCATCACGTCTCCCTGTGACCTGCCTTTATGGACAGCCAGGTAATGACAGTGTTTGCCCTAAGCCTCTGCATTGTTTGTTACTGTTGTGAGATTAACCCAGTATTAAAACATCTCCATACAGCCAGACTAATATAGGCATTAACCCACCATTAAGTTTAACAACAACATAGTCTGGCGTAAAATTACGTCATCTCCAACTCTCTGGCTGATTCCGGTTCACCAACTGCCTGCTGCGAGCGGAGACAGACGCTGAATTGCTTTCCCACTTCCATGTCTTTTTAAACCAAAACTCAAATTGAAGTAATGTTTATGACTCCCATGCCATGGCTCTGAAAATTCATTTAAAAAAATCTGAAATGCGGTTTGGTGCTACACATGCCTTAGGCCAAGAGCACAGAGAAGGAGAGAAGGAAGTCGAAGCTGCAGCCGCTGTTCTCTGGGATTCTTTAGCAACATTTAAAGCTTATTTAGAGGATAATAATTTGAAGTATTAATACATGACTATTTAATGAAATCACAGCGGTTTTCTCATAAACAAACTTTATTGTTTACAAATTCTTGGGTGGTGGATTGAATTAAAAAAAAAACATGACTACTTTAATGTCTGAACCAACTGGAAATAAAGTATTAAGCTTGATCGCAGGCTAAATTGAATGGTTCTGATAGGAAAGTAAAAACAAGAGAAAATATAAACTAAGGCTTGCATTTAAGGTCTGAAGAAAAGACCCATGTTTGCAAGAGGCTAAATTAGAACCAAACTTCCCCCCAAAAGACTCTTTTCTCTTCAGCACTCTGTTAACTTCATATTAAAGAAATGTGAGGTAAAAATTATCCTCAGTGTGTCAGTATGTCAGAGTAACCTCTACTCTGTACATCCAGAAAAATTTAAACCTTACTACAGAACATGGTCCATCATTAATACAGAGTAAAACACATGTGTAGACTCA